GGCAGGTAGGTAGATAGATAGATAGAGAGAGAGAGAGACACACACACACAGAGAGAGGGATAGAGCGCGAGAAACTCAGAGCCTCAACCACCTTTCAGTCCATCAGTTCGCCCATCCATGAATCACAACAACTCACCTCTCCTATAGGTTTCCTATCTTTGAAACTTCCGCCACCGCCTTGTGCGGTACTACTGGTAGTCTACCAAAGGGTAGTACGACTCAAGTGATTCAAGTGGATCTTGAAATCTTCAGCACTGACTTTGCGGGACCTGCTCCTTGGTGAGCCCCGAGATCTTCATGATCTCGTCGATGCTTCGTCCCTGAACACGTGAAATTTCATTGGGTTGGTTGAGAGTTTCCTGGATTTTTGCCGACCATGGGACAAAATGCTGTGGTTTTCCCGTTCACCGTTTTGGGATTGGCCAGATTCTATGGCTTTGATGCGCCTCTCCCAAAACTTGGCAACGCTGCAAAATTGCTGCATCGTAATCCCATCCCCGAATAAATACGATATAATAATGGTTTAAAAAAAAGGGAATAAGACACACATTTGGGACCATAGAAATGGGGTGATGAATATTAGCGAGATCGCATTATACCCCCAGTATATCCCCATCATATTCTCATGATATCCCTTATATCCCATTATACCACCGTGTTTCTTCAGAATCTGAAGATTTCACTTAAGAACACTGTAAATATCATGTTGCTTGGTCATATCCCATTACATCAACTGTAAATATCTCCATATTTTTATTTTTCCCTAGTTAAATCTTCCTGTTCCGCATCTTCCTCTATCATGTCCATTATAATGGTTGGTTGATAGAGATTCCCCTATTGGATATTACTGTATATATATATTGGATAAAGCCAAAACCATATTCCGCGAAAACTATATGTCGCATCACCATATAACAAGAATAGTTTCTCATCAAGTCACCGTCGCCAAACTCTCCCCAGACTCCACCAGCCCGGGGTGCCTTGGTGTTATGCAGGTGTTCCACTAAGCGTTGCGCCCCCGGCGTCAGTGCGGAGCCGTAGCTGGTGGCCTCCAGGGATACATTGTACTACCCAAATAGTATCTATGTCTACCTTGATATGCTCCTGTTTGTTTATTATATACTGTTATGTACTATTATATATTATTATATATTATTATATACTATTATATACTATTATATACTACGTTTGCACTCCTGTGTCGTACTTACGTACTCCCTACGTATACTCCTTGTATACTACCTATATACTATCTCTATAGTCCCTCTTTGCTGCCACCAAAATATAGACTCACATACTGTATACTCTGTATACTCCTCATGCACGATTGTGACTACAAAAGCACTCTTGTATCCTATCTATACACTCCCTATATACCAAACCATATACTACCTATCTACCACTGCACCGGGAGGGGCTTGGGAAGGCTGGATCATACACAAGCAAGCTGGATATTCAGAGGGATTGATCCATTTTATAGCAATTTGAATGGGAAAATGATGGTCACCTATTAACCTATTGGATGACCTATGGTGTAGCATATTTTCAGACCCCTGGCAAGACTGAGACCATATAAATCATTGGTCTACTACTCTTTTTTTGCACGATAATCTGTAGGTTGAAGTTATAAAAATCATTGCCCAGTTACACATGTTAGGGATGGGTCAGATGAACATCTTCAGTTCACATCCCAAAAATTGAAACAGACTAGCCTTAGTTGGGATGTGAAGTCCTTGCCAAAGGAGGAGAGTGGCTTTGGACCCACGGCTTTGACCCACTGCCATATTTTGTAAACCTCAAATAAACCCATGTGAACGTTGGTTCCTCCTTGTGAGGTCCCCATCATTGTCCAAAAACCATTGGGGATAGCCATCGAAGAGCCCTTCGAGTTGGTACGAAAAATCAAGGGACTGGAACCCCAAATTCGGAAACACTGCAAACTGGAAGAGGAAAACCGTTCAGGAAAACCATCGAAAACCATGTTTTGAACGACAAAAGAAAGGATATGGCTGATACTGGTTGGTGGTTTCAACCCCTCTGAAAAATATGAAAGTCCGTTGGGATGATGACATTCCCAACTGAATGAAAAGTCATAAAATTCATGTTCCAGTCACCACCAACCAGGATATGTTTTAAAGATTTTTAAAGGATCTTCTTAAAGGTAAAGCTCCCATTTTCCCCACCTTGTAGGTGGCGGGGTGGCTCTTATAGCTTTGCCCTTCCAACCTGAAGGTGATGGTCGCTCCATCCGCCTGCGGCGCCAGTTGGGGCCAAGCACGTCGAGAAAGTTCTATGCCTATATCTATCCTATGTTATCCTATATAACCATATATAACCCATATATCTACCTGATGTTATCCTATGTTATCCTATTTTATCCTATGTTATCCTAGATTTCATTGATCTAGCTAAACAAAACCCGATCCAACGAGCTCGACTAGGAGGACAACAGCTGGTGTGATGAGCAGACTCACCAAATGGTTTTCAGCACGCGATGAGTTGAACAAAACCTGAACTTGGGACATCTTGGGACTCCAAGGGAACTTTGGAGATGTTTGGATACCCCCCAAGTTTGACGAAATTAACCACCTTCAAAAAGAGACCCCTTCATGCCGCAATGGATCTTCAGCAACAATCTGATACAATTTGTAGAAAACCCTTTGTCTGTCGAAAATTCATGGGATTCTCGTAGATGTTGCGGAAAAGAATCCCACATGTTTTTGATGAAATCTCACGAAATCTCTATTTTTTGCGGCTTTTTTGCGCCCCTTTTTGGTTTCCTAAAATCAAGCAGTCCTCTGGTTTCACCCTCCCAAGCGGTGCCTGTTTGGGCTGCAAGCCACGCAAACTTCGGAGGTCGATAAACGCGTAGGCTACGGCATCTGCCTTCCGAGTGCTTGAGGCTGCTCGAACCCATCGGGCCTATCTTTTTGGTGATTACTATACCTCAAACTCCCACAGATTATCATCATGTGTCCCAGTTGGCAACTCTATGAAGTAAATCCATGGTAAATCCATGGCAAATCTATGGTAAATCCTGATTTGTTTAAACAAAAGGTATCCAGCAACATTTCGATCACCGAACCGGTCGTCCAGCCTTCCCCATGGGTTGCGGGATGCACCCGCCCTCGGTGTCCCTGGGAGCAACTTCCGAGTGACTCAAAAATTGCAATGGTTTCACCAAAATAAATATGTGACTTACCCTCTGGTTATTTAACATAGCCATGGAAAATCCATCATAAATGGAGGTTTTAATGGGACATTCATCTATATAAATGGGCCATTTTCCGTAGCTATGTTAAATAACCAAAGGCTAATATCATGTTAGTAAGGCAATAAGAAACCAGCCATATGTTTGATGGTCAAAATATGTCAAAATAAGTAACCCTTAAGTTATGGTTCATCAACTTGATGGTTTATTGTTGACCACATCCATGGAATCCATGGTTCATTCCCCCAGCTTCCATGGTTGATTCTCCATTGAAGCCACGCGCCTGAGCTCGAAAAAGTGCGCCTCGATGAGAACCTGAAACATGGGGCTGGCTTCGAAGGCTAAAGTTTTCTGCTGCTAAAGCCAGCCTAGGTTTATTGCGGGTTTTAAATGGTGTTTTAATAGGTTTAATTGTACCAATTGCGGATAGGTTTTAATTAAGTTTAATTGTAGCATTTCTATCCATTTCTGGTTCAATTGGGACCATAACTGGGCTCACATAGTTTCACTGTTTCAAAATGGATGAAGAGTTAACCAGCTTTTAAAGGGCGGCCGCAACATGTTTCACCACAATCAAAATTGTGAAAATCAACGAACAACAAAAGTGTAACAAAAGTGGAACAAAAGCAAAGGTGCCTAATTACAGTATCAGATCCTATCATTCCTCTAGAAATCTTCTCATTTTTTGTTGGCCGTTGGCCATTTTATGAAACTTCGTTGGGCTCATTGGCCCGGCCTCGCCGTTGTTGTTGCCTTTGGCCGCCAGCGGCGCTGAGGCACTCATCGTCGCTTCAGACTTATACTCCGGCGTCTTGCTCCGCGACTTCAGTGGCCACCTTGGACGTGTCCCTGGCTGAAAGTCCCATGGATTTCTAGAAAGCTCCCAAATGAATGGAAGTGTATAACAACCATTAGCTGTGAAAATTTCCATCTAAATATATATATATATTACTATAGAATCCGAACAGTGAAAAACATGTACAAAATGGTGGATTTTTCATCCAAGAGGGAAGGTTTGTTGGTATTGAAAATAAAGCAACCCCCCAAAAGATAGAGAGGTAAAATCCAATTCTGAAATTTCGTGAAGAATCGAACCTGTTCTATGCTTTTTGGGGGGTACAGTGGTACAGGTTCCCCATCAAAAGGGCACCGGGTCGCCACCAGCGTGGCTTCTCCAACAACCACTGAACCGTCAGCCCTTCAACGAAGCCCAAGTGGTCGTCTGTACCTCAACAGCTGCTTCGATATGATCAACGGGGTATCCTTGGGGGTATCAATGGATGAATATGCAACATGTAATGTGGGTATATGTGGGTATTTACGCATCTACCTATCTACCTATCTATATGTATGTAATATCTATATCTATATCTATGTCTATATCTATGTCTATATCTATATCTATATCTATATCCATATCTATATCTATATATCTATCTATATATAATGAATGTATAAATACGTAGAGAGCTAGATGCATGATGTATGGGTATGGGATGGCATCCAAAACCCTCGTAGGCTGGCCTTCACACAAAAATTAGCTGCTGTTTGTTGTGGTATCATAGCTATTCACGCATCTCCACATGACAAATAGATTCTTCCGGACAAATTACAAGAATTATATAAATGAAATAAGAAATTGGTCATCTTTGGAGCCACCCCCTCCAAACTATGTTCATTCTCAAGTCGTAGTGAGGTAGCTATGATTCACCTAAATAGACGGATGTACAGTATCACCAACAAATGGGGAGAATCTGAGCTGGAGAAAATGGACTTCACATTTTTGAGGAAGAGGATGTCTTGAAAGTGGTCCCACATATGATTACAGTAATCATAGCAATCCCAAAAAAAGATTATAACCAAACTGCTTCAGGGCTCGAACACTGGCTGTGGTGTCCCCGTTTCCATTCCCAGATTTCCAGATTCCCCAGCCCTACCTGGCCCGATGTCTGAATCATACACGTCCACCTTCACGAATTGGCTGGGCGTGTAGACGAAAAAGTCATGATAGCCTCGTGAAGGCCAATTAAAACGAAGGTTGTGAAAACTAAGATCTGTGGCACTTCACTTTTTTTGACCAAACAATCCGACTCCAAATCTACAAAGCGATGGTCGTTTTTTCTCCATCAAAATCCAGTTTTGATCAGCGATCAGCGACCAATGACACAACGCGCCTGCATCTCCCCATTTGGGATTTCGCGTGCGACTCTTCTGTGGTGTGTACCAATGATGCGATCCCAAGTGCACAGAAACCTAGGATGGGGATGGTCCCGGCATCAAACATGGTGCCCAATGGTGCCCAAGTGATGAAGGGTGTAGTTTGCTTCTAGGGAAACTCCATGAGATCAGTTTTTTTGCCTTGTTTTTTTAATGTTTTTTCAAAGTCTTCTCGGAAATCTCGAGATGTCGAATGTGTAGTTTGTGATGACTCGTAGCCCATAACCACCGCGGTCAACCACCCCAGTCGCGACCAAGTGGCATAAGGGTCAGAAGTGCCATTGAAACCAAAGTAGTTCCTTGGATGAGTGTGGTACGAGCCATGGTCAATACTCACTAAAAATGGTTGATGGTCATCCCATCCATAATAAGGATCCAAAAATAATGGTTATTATAAATCCCGGATTGAACCATTGGATGACTAGCCCCTATTAATGGTTATTAACCATGAGTATTGACCATAGTTCATATGTCGCAAGCGTCATTGCGGATAAGGTGGGAAAATCGTCATGAATAATGTAGCAAGACCTTGATAAAAATTTGAAAATTCATCTCTGGGTTGCCTATGTGCAGGCATACCCTCTCTAGAATTCAATAAGACATATACATATATGTACAATAGATAGATAGATAGATAGATAGATAGATAGATGGACGGATAGATAGATTGATTGATTGATTGATTGATAGATTTTGATAGATTTTGATAGATTTTGATAGATTTTGATAGATTTTGATAGATATTGATAGATAGTGATAGATAGTGATAGATAGTGATAGATAGTGGTAGATAGTGATAGATAGAGATAGGTAGTGATAGGTAGTGATAGATAGTGATAGATAGTGATAGATAGTGATAGAGAGTGATAGATATTGATAGATAGTGATAGAGAGTGATAGATAGTGATAGATAGTGATAGATAGTGATAGATATTGATAGATATTGATAGATAGTGATAGATACTGATAGATTCTGATAGATCCTGATAGATTCTGATAGATCCTGATAGATTCTGATAGATTCTGATAGATTCTGATAGATTCTGATAGATTCTGATAGATTCTGATAGATTCTGATAGATTCTGATAGATTCTGATAGATTTTGCTAGATTCTGATAGATTCTGATAGATTCTGATAGATTCTGATAGATTCTGATAGATTCTGATAGATTCTGATAGATTCTGATAGGTTCTGATAGATTCTGATAGGTTCTGATAGATTCTGATAGATTCTGATAGATAGATATGTTTGAAGTATAGCTTTGTTCATTTACTCGTGCTTATCACTGTTGCTTGTTTGCCTGCCTGGCCGTCTGCTTGCTTATCTATATAGTCGTTTATATATGTCCATCCCCCTGGCTTCGTGGTGGATCTATTCATTTTGGGGTTGGGTTCACAGCTGCACCACTGCTGCTGGATGCCATTGATGAATTGATCATCCCCTTTGAACCTGTCAACGCCCATCTACCTATGTTGATTGACACATATTATATGCATGTATGTATGTATGTATGTATGTATGTATGTATGTATGTATGTATGTATGTATGTATGTATGTATGTATGTATGTATGTATGTATGTATGTATGTATGTATGTATGTGTGTATGTGTGTATGTATGTATGTATGTATGTATGTATGTATGTATGTATGCATGCATGTATGTATGTAATGTAATGTATTGTAACGTAACGCAATGCAATGTAATGTAATGCATGTATGTATGTATATGTACGTATATATGTATATATGTATATATGTATGTATGTATGTATGCATGCATGCATGCATGTATGTATGTATGCATGCATGTATGTATGTAATGTATTGTAACGTAACGCAATGCAATGTAATGTAATGCATGTATGTATGTATATGTATGTATATGTATGTATATATGTATGTATGTATGTATGTATGTATGCATGCATGCATGTGTGTATGTATGTATGTCTGTGTGTGTATGTACGTGTGTATGTACGTATGTATGTCTGTGTGTGTGTCTGTATGTATGTATGTATGTGTGTATGTATGTACGTGTATGTATGTATGTATGGATGTATGTATGTATGCATGCATGTATGTATGTATGGATGTATGGATGTATGTATGTATGTATGTATGTATGTATCTATGTATCTATGTATCTATATATATATGTGTGTGGTTGTTATATATATATATACATAACTATATATATATACGTTGTTATATGGAAAAAGGATCTACAACAAGACTACTCCTACACCCATAGAGGTATAGAATAGCACGTAAACGGAATCAACATTGGATCATGGTGGTATGTATTATCACTTTCGAAAATCAGCTGAGCATTGTAAACAAGAAAAAACTGGTTGCGAATTGGTTCTACTGGCTGGTTGATAGGGATTCCCATAATGGATTGTAATCATCTCCGTTAAACTACCAAGTAGAACCCCCTAGTTTACTCAATCAAAACCCTCTGTCGTCTCTTTATCCTGGTTAAGAGAATTTCCTAGTTCATGGATTCTTGTACAATATCTAATGAATAAAAGAATAGTATAACCCCGGAATTCATCATCAACCAACCATCATTTATTGACTGCATCCGCATAGTTAGGCATCGTTTTGATGGTTCAACCCTTCATCAATGATCAACTACTACCCCTATAATCATCAACCAACTATAGGGTTTTGGTCACTACTCATATGCTCATGAACCAATGATATAATATAGTACAAGCCGGCCCCCCCCCCAGTTATAAGTTTGTTTGTAAACCGTATTAAGCATATGTTATCCCGTTATATCCGCCATTATATCCTACTTGGAAATGCAGTTCCAGTGAACTAAGTTGATAAATTTCACAATAGTTATACGGGTTATATCTCAACTTATGGGGCTTCATGACCATGGTTACAGCCATGTGTAACCTCAACTGGACCCTCAAGTAGTTAAAGCCCTAGTTTCCCTCCGGTAATCAAACATGGCAATTGAACATCCCCCATTGATAGATGATTTTCCTCCTAACACCTCCATTGATAGGGGATTTTCCAGCCAGCCACGTTTGACTACCAAAGGGTGAATCCCATAATCAGTCCATTCATATTCCATTAATATTCCAGAACCATGTCCCAATATATCACATTATGTCCCCATTAATATTCCCGTCATTCAACTCATATCCCATCATGGTTATATTCCCATGAAATATAGTCCCATTAAGATTCCACTAAATGATGATAAATATCTCATTATATAAATGGTATGTATATGATTGGTTTAAATGTTCATTAAGATTTGTTTATATATGTTAATTTTACCTCCCAATATAATTAATACCCTCTGGTAATTTAACATAGCTATTGAAAATGACCATTTATAGTGGATTTTCCCATTGAAAATGGTGATTTTCCATAGCTATGTTAGTTTACCAGAGGGTATAATCCAATGACTGGTTGTAAAACCCCCAGGGTATAAACCAAGCGGCCAATCAGAGCCCAGTAAGTCGCACGCCTCGCTGATGCACAGCCGCACCACGCATTCCTTGGGGGGAACGGGACAGCGGGACAGGGAGGGCCACGAGGGAAGGGTGGGAAAACATCAAGAAGTGGGATATGATATGTGAATCAACAATGAATGGGGATCTGATATTAATATATAAAATCAATGGATATTTATAAAAATTTCCACTATCAATGAATGGATGTTCATCAATGAGAATCTTGATATGAATGGGGATCTGAAAATAGTCTGAAAATTCTTGAAATTTGGATCATATATTCATCAATCCGTTCCCCCGATAGCCCCCGATCATGATTGTTACAGTACCTGTACCCCCAAGAAGTGGGACCCCAGAATGCTCGGGAAAGATTTAAGATGATGGCTTGTGACTGTGAGATGAGGCTGCAGGATCGCAGCTACCGGTAGAGGGATCTTACCATTGAACAAACCCCATCTTCAGCCTCCAGGCCCTCGATTTCTGCCCGGCTTCAGGATGTGGAAACTGCAAGACCTCCAGGTCCACGTCGGCCTCCGAATCCAACCAGTGCAAGAAGATCAAATTTGGCACCACCTTAAAAGGAGCCAACGGAAGGGGGTTGTTTTCCCAACGGAAATCAGGGAGTGTGGAAAATGTGGGGTGCGCTAAACCTGTGGTAGGAACAAATATGTAATTTTGGGGGGAGGATAGCGGGGAGAGTTCAGCAAATGGGGAATCATAGATACAGTAGCAGTCAGTCAAGTCATTGGGGGGACGGATGGATGGGTAGGTCTGAGCAATCCAAATACATCGCTGGATTTTTGTCAGATGGGAAGGATTTAAGATATTTAAGGGAAACGAGCAGCTTGTTGCATCCAAATCGTGTCTGTAAATCCTCTTACTTCAATCGGAAGCTTTGACCCCAAACCCTAGGGTGGTGCCACCATATCCCCAGAGTTCTCCCAGGGTCCAGCCTTGAAGTAGGAAATGGCAATGGGGAAACAGTTTCCCCATCAAGGTTCCACAAGTCAAAACAAAACGGTACGGAGAAAAACTCAGAATCAAACATGCTGTTTACGGCCAAGAGTGAACAGACAATTTGTGGGTTTTTTAGCCCCCACAATTCAATAGATTTGCTCAGGGAAGAAAAACTTCACCAGAAACCACGGTGTTTTTTCCTTATCAAACATGGGGGGTTCATGTACAGCGGATTGGTGTCGTTTCTGCCAAGTCCGTGTGGCGAGTCACAAGTAGCTCTGAGATTTGATCCTCGGAATGGCCCCTGTAAAAGCCTGGTTGATTTAGAGGGTTTCCTAGGCTTCCTGTAGATCTTCAGATCTTCCCTCCTATGGGAGACTCCGTTTTCAATATTTAGTACCGTGTGCAGCTGTCGCTTTTGTGGGGACCCCTCTCAATCAAGTGGTTTTATGCTGGGTCAAACTGACCCCACTCATCCACCCACCTCAAAAAAAGTGGGTCTATCGGCAGGAGAGAAACCAACAGTATTAATCAGTAGCATGTTGCAAACAGCTCATCTCTATTCACCATTTTTGCTAGCTGGTGTTGTCATCACATCAAAATTCTGCTTGCATTTCCTGACATGTATGCAGTGTAGTTCTAGTGTTCAATGCGACCATTTTGCTACGGAAATCTCCCAAGGTCCAAACCAACCACTCAAATGGATGCAAAATCAAAGAGTCTCGGACCCTGAACCCACAGATTGGCTGCTCATTTTAAAGACAAAATTGAAATGATATTAACCTCCGGTCAATGAAACCAGTGCTCCCCAATTTTCGCGGTGTCCAAAACTTGTTGGATTCCCTGCCGAAATACCACGTTTTGATCTTAGCGTGAGTTGGGACCAACTTTTGATGCCCAATCGGTCCAATTTTCACCCGACGGTTCCTCTAAGAATTTCAGTTCCTTTCCCAACTGTTGGCTCCAAAAACGGACACAATACATCTTCACGAATCTTCACGAAACCGAAAACCAGAGAAATGGTTTCAGTGATAGAAACCAACAAGTTGGCTTGATCACAACAATCCCCATATATTTTTTGGAGATTTTTTGTTGATCCAAACAACAATCCCTGTGATCCCCTACCATCTCCAGAAATCTCGAGCGTCGCTCACCACCTGGCGCATGACTCTGGAGACCACGTCCGCTTGCAGCGCAGCGAAGATGCCGCGGAAGCTCCAGGAGATGTTTGGCGGCGACATCATGGTGATCTGAACTCCACCTGGGGGACTCCAGAGGAGGGGATGACCACCGATATAAGGAATTCAATGGAGGTGAACCAAGAGTTAAATAGGGAGGAAGAAGCATGAACATCATGGGGGATTTCCAATGAAATCATAAAAATCATTGAGAAATATGGAGAAATACTTGGGAAACACACAAAGGTCATCTCAATTCCACCTGATTCGTGCCCGTATTGAGTAGTATCATCTCTGAGTAATCCCTCCCCCACAACAAGGCAGGTAGTATGACCCCAAAAAAATGTTGATCTGAGTTCCACATGAGTAAATGGGATAATAATAGAGATATCCGCCGAAGGAGTAAGCTCCCTAGGATATTCGGCACCTCCGAGGCTCTACAGCAATAGAATGAAGCAGGTTTAATTTGATCTTCCATCAACACCAAGGCTTCCGGTGACAGCTGTACCCTTTGCGGCGGAACTTCCCGCCTATGCTTGGAAGATGTGGCAGAAGAGGCCGAAACTGCAGTTTCAGAGTGCCTTAGCCCGCATCCGGAGGGTGATGCTGACCCTTGAAGCACCCTTGACGCACAGGTCATGATGTTCATGGCGATTCTAGGAGAGTTCAGCCAAGACACCATCGATGTGCACATTTTCAATGCCTATTTCAATGCCCTGAACATCCACCACGATGTCTGCATTGCAGTTCCAGATGATCTTCAAGTCCAGTTCAAGGCCATCATACCTGGGACTCAGGACCCAACCGCAGGCTTCCAAGGTTCCCTTCCAGGTCCGTTCCAGCTTTAGGCTCGGCCAAACAAGACACACCACTCCCAGACCCAGAGAGTGAGACCCAACAGCCACTACAAATACTCAGAAGCAACACTTCAACAGGCCCTGATGTTGGGAATTTATACTTGTCAAAGAGCAAAGGCCAAAAAAAAAACACACCAAGCTCTGCAAAAAACCATGAGTCTTGCATCTTTTCTGAAATCCAAAAATTGCCAGCCCAGCTGCTGATTTTGCTTGCCGTGCGCCACCCCGATCTCCTTAATCTCCGGATGCCGCTCGCCAAGGGAAAAGGTCTTGAAGGACACGGTGCCGAAGACTGATGGTAGCGCATCCTGCTAGGCTCTGCATTCCCAAACAAAATGTGGGATTTTGGGAAGAAAACAAACCTACAAACCAATACTGTAATGTATTTCATTATATATATGTATATACATATGAATAATATTTACTATATATGTATTTACTCTCTATATATATATATATGAACATATATATATATATGTATATATATATGTGTATATATATATACATATATATATATATTTGAATATATATATATATATATATTTGAATATATATATATATGTATATATATATTTGAATATATATATATGTATATATTTACATATATATATATATACATATGTATACTCTATATTATATATATATATATTTGGTTGAGGGGTGGTTGCCGGCGTGCGTTTTTAAGCACGCTTTTAGACTTTGCTTCGGGGGTCTCTTGTGTCTGCAGCCTCCCGCGTCTTTCCCCCCTCCAGTCTCCCTCTCCAGCTGCGTTTCTTTTGCACATTGCGCGCGCCTGCCAGTGACAACGGCGATTGAGTATATTTTCGACGCAAAAAAAACACTTGCACCTGCCAGCGCCTGCCAGTGACAACGGCGATGGAATATATTTCTCCACGCCTAGGGATTCCCCTTGAAAGGTTCCTGGTGACTCGTCTACCTAGGCACTCCGCTACCAAGTACTTGCTTCTCTCTATCAACACTAACGTCTACCATTGCTCTTGTGGGGCAGCACAGACTTGTACCCATGCCCTTGTCATGCACCCTCAAAAACCATCGGTTTTGAGAACGCCGGGTACCACCCCGGAGCCATATATTTATATACTATATATATATATACTCTATATATATTTATATACTCTATCTATATATATATATATATATCTATATATATATACACTCTATATATATATATATACTCTACATATATATATATACTCTATATCTATATATATATATAGAGTATATACATATATAGTGTGTATATATATATATACTATATTATATATATAGGGAGTATATATATACTCTATATATATATACTATATACTGGATATATACACTCTATATATCATATGTCTATGTGTCTGTATATATATATAGATATTGATATAGGATATGAAATGACAACATCATGGCCATCCATTCTTTTTGCATTGCCAACAAACGAACTGCCACAACTCCGGCCCTGGGAGTCCACTGACCTTGATCTTTGGCTCTAAGTCTTTGGCCACCACCAGCTTTAGAGCTTCATGGATGTGAGGCCACATCTTGGCGACCATGAAGTTCAGCCAACTCATCTCCTTCCCTGCGGATGTTTTTTTTGAAAGATTTTCACCAAAGGGTGGGAGGTTTACCAGTGAAGATGAGGATGCTGACCAACCAAAATGTGGGATGTAAGCACTATAAGGTTTCAGAAATAGGGCCTTTTCGCTGAACAAGAGACGGGACTCAACTAACAAAAATGGCAAAAAATTGGGATAACCCTTGATTACGGCAAAAAAGAAAAGGGCGGAGATGTACTGTAGCTTCTCAGGTAAGCAGCAATGGATCGCTTGTGGTCCAAGCCTAGGAGAATCATGTTTAATGGATCTTGGGGCACAACGAAATATCCAAACTGATCAACCCCCCAGACATGACCTGAATCTTGCTGCGTTGGTGTCAGGGACAAACAATAGCTTACACAATTATGTGGCAAAATATGTCCCCCGAAAGAAAAAATGGTGCCACCATGAATGGTCTTCTCCCTTCAACAAATTCTGAGACTTCGACTTCGAGGGGGCCCCATATGCCAACATGGGGGTGTTCACCGTGGTAGGTTTATGGCAGCCAGGGTTTCCCGGGTTTCCACGCCTTTGTCGCCTCGCTTTGCCATGGTTCTCTGCAGGATCATGCGCCCGGCTTCATTCAGGTGCTCGAGTTCCCTGGATACTCCGGAAAACTGGAAAGTGCGAGGGATTGGAAGCAACCACAGGGGATCTGTATATACATATATATGTATATACAAATACACAGAATAATATATATATATATACATATTATTATATTATATGATATGATATTATATTATATTATGTTATATTAGTTTATGTTAAATTTTATTATATTATATCACATTAGGTTATATAATATCATAATTCATTATATTATTACATATCTTTATTCTAGTTTATTTGATATTAAAATATATTTTTATATGTTATTGTATATATTTATACTATAATATATTATTATATATATTCAACTTATATTATATTATATTAAACTAAATTTAAAAAATATCATATTATATTAAATTATATTATATTATGTTGTATTATATTATATTATCTTATATTATATCATATTATATTATATTATATTGTATTGTATTTTATATTATATTATATATTATATATTAAATATTATATATTAAATATTATATATATATTATATTATATATTATATATTATATACTATATATTATATATTATATATTATATATTATATATTATATATTATATATTATATTATATATATATATTATATATATTCTGTATTTGATATTATATATTAAATATTATTATCCTATATATTATATATAGTAGTTGGTTTTATTATCTTGCATTATATTAAATTAAATTAAATTATATCATATTATATTAAATAATACTACAGTATATATTATATACTATATATTATATATTATGTTGTATTGTCAATTTTAATATATTATAATATGTTTTGTATTAAATTACACTATATTGAAATATATATATTGTATGATATTATATCATATGATATTTTATTTTAATATATGTATATATAGATTAAAATATATTAGATTAGATTATTTTATATTAAATAGTTTTATATTCTATTATATTAAATATATTATATCATATTATATTATATTATATTATACGTTATGTACTACATTTTACTTATAATATACTATTATATATATATTATATTACATATTTTATAGTATAGATATATATTATAATATATAGTATAAAATATGAATATAAATATATATATATTATAGTATATATTATATTATATATAGTATATATTATAGATTAAAAATGAAATATTATATGAAATATATTATATAGTGTAATGGAATTGTTTTTTCAACCACCCCCAAAAGGAAAACCAAGTAAGCAAGACCGCAACAGATCCCGGGCAGCGGCTGCGGCCTTTGAACGTGGACATCTTGAGCCAAACCAGTGAGTTAAGACAACATGTGATGACCCGTAAGGAGAGGTACTATACATATGAAAGTGTGGGTATATGAAGTGCCCATTTCTTTCAAGTCCCAGGCCTACGGTCGGTTGCAAGCTACAAAGTCTGATTCCAGGCAAGAGATGCGATCGATTCCATTGAGAAATCTTTCATGCCTGGCAATTGCTATCCGTGCACCTAACGGATGTTTAATTACGGATGCGTGAAGTCCACAAGCATTAGGCGAGGCGCCGTGGCAGCCAACCACCATTAGGCATGGACAAGGAAATTCCAAAGAAAATCCAAATGACATAGTGAACTGACTAGGCAAGTCCAAAGTGAGAGTGCAGATGGAACTTAGCTACATCCGCACTGATGTCCGCTTAGCGGCTGCAACATGCTGAATTAAACTTCGGCAGTTGTGGAGAAAGTCCAAAGGAAATGACTAAGCAAAATCCAAAGACTGAACTGTAGATGGAACTTAGTTACATCCACAGGTGTGCCTTGAACGGCAAGCCTTGAACGGCGTGCAAGTGCTGAAACCCGACGACAGCAAATGCAATTGAGATCCCAAATGAAATTGACAAAAGACGAAAGCTTCATAAAGGTTGTCAACAGCAGTTTGATTACTGTGACGTGTCGACACAAAAGGTTGTCAACAGCAGTTTGATTACTGTGACAGGGAACTACCTGCAAACAAGGTCCAAACCTAAGTGGCTGTAACTGGTTTGATGCAAAGTAAGTCCAAAACGCCTGACCACATAGACACAGGCAACGCCTTGTTCATAACATCCGCCTTTCGATGACCCGTAAGGAGAGGTACTATACTTATACATACGAAAGTGTGGGTATATGAAGTGCCCATTTCTTTCAAGTATTATATATTATAAATATTATATATCGTATATTATAAATATTATATATTATATATTATATGTTATATATTATATATTATATGTTATATATAATATATTATATATTATATGTGATATATTATATATTATATATTATATATTACATATTATATATTATATATTATATATCATATATTATATATTATATATTATATATCATATATAATATATTATTTATTATATATTATA